CCAGTGATAACCCATATGCACGTCCTTGGTAAATCTGGCGATAGTTTTTTAGCATTAAAATATGTAGAACTCATAGTAATTTTTGCCCCCAAATTTCATTCGAATCGCTAAAAGCACTTGGAAAAGAATTATTACACCCCCTGTAGTTACGAAACAAAGCAGAATCAAACCTATGTTTATATAAAAAATAAATCTTATTTTTACGTGAAGAATCTCCCCACGAGAGATGGCACAAGTTTTTTTGAAACACCCTGTATAAAGAAAATTGTGTTGATTGTATCAAGAAATATATTAGAAATTTCCAGATTTATTTATGTCCCTGGAAATAAACTATCTTACCTACGCTACTGGCTCCTGTAGAGTTCCCGCTGCTGAAAGCTCCAGTACTATTATTGTTATTTGTTGCACTAGGCGTGTTGTTGTTATTTCCCCTGGACGAGGCAATGTCGGGTATTTCGTCATGTGACACGCAGAGTCCTGGAAAAATGAATTATTTTATTTGTTAACATTTCAAGTGCGGATTACATCAGGTTTTTTGGCAGGAGATATTGCTCTCAAGTGATACTATGTCACTGTGATGCTTTGGATTGCAAGAGACATTTTCTATTTGGGAAAGGAAGGCTAGACACAGAGGAAGTAGTAGTAGACCCTATCAAGGTCCTATACAAGCTAGTGCTGGGCACAGAGATAGGAAACTTACAGATCGCAATGAAAAGAAAAAAATACATTATTTGAAAATAAATTATTTTACCTGTTGAAGGCATTTCACAACCCTGACAACTCTTCTTTGACATTTCATCGTCTAGATATTTGTCGGTCAGTTTTGCGCTTTTACTCCCTTCGCTCGTGACGGAGTCTTTGTCGTCACCATCTTCAGACTGTTTGCCTAGAGTTTGACGTTTGTGTTTCATTCTTCTATTCTGGAACCATACTTTAACCTGGAACATTAATTAAAGTTGTCAGAAAGAAAATAAAATATAGATACTCTGATTTTTACACACGATGAAGCGTTGTTTTACATAACAAAAAATTTACAATATACATTACAATAATTAGTAATCATCCTGATTCAATATAGTCATTATTTTGACTACTACTATGTATTTTTTGTACCTTGCCTGGCGCCCAATACTTTTAGTTTTAGTTTAATTTGATTTCCTCCAGTGAGATACAAACAAACCCATTACTGCTCTATTGACGAAAAGCTGTCTTACGCAAGGGACAATATAGTTTTTCAGACCTTTTAATGAAAAATCATATCAGACCTTTTTTGAAGATCGTTCAATTTCATAAAAGAATATGTACTGATGTTTACAACAAGCTGATTTGTTAGAACGTTAAAGCCCTAGTGCCTAAAAGTAAAAAATGAAACGTTAAAGTTGTTGTAGGTGGTCTCGTATAAGTTTTTCGACTTCTCGGGCACAGAAGTGTCTAGTCTTAGCAGTCAACTATTAAGCTTGACCAATCAGGTTGGTTAGCGAGGTTATTTGGAGTGTGTTAATTCATTCGTGTTTGTCAAAAACTCTAACGTGATTGGTCGGGCTTAACAGTTGCCTGCTAGGGCTAGACACAAGTCTCGGGAAATAACGTGAATAGCGCAGCTTCAGCAACACAAAACTTTGTACTAAATACGGCGACGTTTGAACCAAGTTTGAACCTGACAGGACTTTGTCATTAAACAATGCATAAACAATGCCTTAGAAACCGATTACCAGGACATTTTAAAAAATGTTTAAAAATAAATAATAATAATAGCATGAAAATCTCAAATTATCCGCTTTCACAAAAAATCTTGTATGAAATTTGTTGCGAAAAGAGAGTTTTAAGCACTCGACACATTAGTAAGTGCAGTAATTTTGCGTCCCGTGCTTAAAACACATTCATTTCGCAACTTGTTACATAAATTACTATTTCGAAACCAGTTTAATTTGACATCGAAAGATTGAATTTGAAGGTGGCATTGCTATTCTAATCTATAACCGTATTATTTTTTGTTTAATTTAGTATTTTTGTAACTCAAGCACGAATTCGTATAAATCATTCAAAATTAACAATTTGCTTCATTTTAAGGAGTTCTTTGAAAAGTTTCAAATACATTTAATGTACTGTAAAATAAAATGGGGAGAACTTATTCATTATTTTTAAAATTTACATGGGATTTTCTATGTCCATCCACGTCGGCGATGCAACAGCTACCTTCTGTTTACATAAAATATTATATTATGTAACTGAATAGGACAATGCACACTATCCATTCCATTTCCCTTCCGTTCCATATCCTATCTGTTAACATTTTGATGATATTTATTTATTCTTTCACCTCTTAATTAAATCTATTACCTTTTTAAATCATAAAACTTTCGTAATGATATAAATGGTACAATAAAAAGTATGGAACTGATACGGAATGGAAGCTTACGTATAGCGTCAATACAATAAAAAATACGGAACGGATATGCAATGGAATCGGAAGGTATAGTGAGAATGAACCTTTAGACGTGTTTTTTTTCGGCAAGTTTTTGGTCTTCGTCGAAAGTCTTCGGCAAAAGAAATCATTTGTTGCCTATAGCATCTCTTGATATTTTTATCTGCCAGCGGGCATCTGTGTCGTAATGACAGGCCTGACCAGACGAGCAATTTTTTTCTCGTCCAGGCCGAATTAACCAAAATTAAACGCATCTCCCGCTCGCAAGACAATTTCCAATTATTCTCGATTTAAGTAAAACCCACTTAATAGATCGAATAGTTACGGCTTGTCTTGCTCGCCTGGCGTCCCTCTTAATGGATTCAACTTTGATTAATGATCGATCTCGGGCGGCTAGGATTGTAGTATTACAGGCTATATGCCCGGCGTTCGTCTTGCAGGCTTTTTTTGCCTCGATTCTGTCGAATTTTGACCGACCGATGGATAGACGAGGTTCGTGTCCGGTAATAGCCCTGACCGATATTATTTTTTCCCAGAACCAGAAAGCATTTCTTGGTTGACGTTGTTTTGTGATTTTTGATTCTTAAAAGTAATAGTTATTTTTTATACAAGACGATAATGCAATTTTATCGTCGTGTATAAAACAATATTTTTTTCGATAGCGAGTTACGTTTTAAAAAATATTCAGAAATTATTATTTCAAGGAATGTATTACGAGTAGAAAAAATATTGTGCTGGGTTGGTGTTGGTTTCTATGTAATTTGACAAATAAATAAAGCTGCCTCTTTTGTTGTCAGTTTTGAGTCAATATTTTTTAATTCTCTTTTGTGTCGATTTCTGATTGAATTGGAGCCAGAAATGGCTCAAAACGAAATGAGTAAATTATCAACAGATATTCAGGCTGAGGCGACAAACGCCATATCCAAACTACTTCCATTTAAATCCCGAATAACTTATGAAAAGGAATACAAAAATTTTCAAAAATGGAAGCAATTAAAAAACGTACGAGAAGAAATAAACTTTTTAACCTATCGTGTCGCTGTTAAAGTATCATTTAATCGACCCTTGGGGTTAAAGTACTATTTTTGATAGATACAAGGCAATTTTAACAGTTGCTATGTATGAAAAATAACTATTAATATTGCGCGTATCTGCGAAACCATTGGTATAGAATTTTGAAAATTCTAGATTAAGATTACGATATTTATAGGAAACTAAGTACAGATCAACTAAAGTAAATAGGTACCTAGTATAGTTTTGGATTTCAGGACATTTCTTATATTTTGAATAATTTTAATTATGAAGTAGTTAATCTAACCTGTCTTTCCGTCAAATCTAAAGAAGCTGCTATCTCTATCCTTCTCGGCCTGCAGAGTATTTGTTAAAATGGAATTCTTTTTCTAATTCTAATAGTTGGGTGTTGGTGTACGCCGTTCTAAGTCGTCTGGGTAGTCCATTTTCTGAAACAAAACAGAGACACCTTTAAAATCGTTCAACAGAAATATTATATAAAATTCTTAATACAAAATATTGCACAGAATTAAAGTCTGAATAGGTCCACTTCTATGGCAACGATGGTTCATTTACCCTAATAAATACTCTCAATACTCTAGAAAATATTTGCAATTATAAGGAACCTATTTGAGTCCTATCTTTAAAAAAAAACTTGGGGACAAGACAATCCATATAGCTTTTTGTCAATATAACGAATATTGAATCATCAAATTCGAAGTATCTTCGTGAAGCGAGGAGATAGTAGAGAGAGACATAGTAAAACCTTCATTCAAAGACAAAATTCTAAATCAACAAAGAAGCTGCTAGTGCTCAGTAGTGCTGGATAAAGTGTGGATTACAACTGGCCTTTTGGTAGTATATATGGTTGTGAAGGGCTATACCTGAAGAAGCTCAACCTGTATAAAGGAATTGTTTGCTACAGACTCTTCAGATTCATTTCACTGTTTCTATAGATGATGAAAGATTCGAGAAGTAATTTGGAAAAAAAATATCCGAAAAAATCAAGCAGAAATACTAACAATTTATTAGTATACAGCTTCTCAAGAAAGGCCATCTCACACTTATCCACTCAGGAACGCGGAGCAAGATCTTTATCTACCTACCCCACGCTCAGAGTTAGTTAAAAGTTCAATATTATACAACTCGAAAAAAATGCACAATCTGCCATTTGAAATCAATTCCATAACATCATTTTCTTCATTTCGCAAAGCATTGAAATCTTATTTACTAGACAAGGCTTTCTACGCCGTAAATGACTTATATTTTGATAATCGAATTTGATCTTGTAAACACTGGTCTAATATATGCTATTTACTATAAACTTACTAAATATTTTTGAATCTTATTTTTATTTTTTTATTCTTTGACATTGTAAACATTTATAAATGTTTATTTTAGACAATAAGACTGACAATGTAATTTGTATACTTGTTTTATATTCTTTTTTGTTTGTTTGTTTTACTACTTTTTGCTCTTTTTTTTTGTAAAATTTTTTGACAATAAAGGCATTTATTTATTTATTTATACTATTAGTTATTACTAAGAAAGCAGTAAAAGATATCTCAGCGGCGCATTAAAAAGAGAAGAAAAAAAGCAAGAAAAGAAAAAAGAAAATCAGAAAGAAAAAAAAAGAAAGAAAGAAAAAAAATTAAAGAAGAACAGTTTGCCCAAAATCTGTCTACATCAAATGTATAAACAATGATCTAAAAAATGACAGAAAATATAATATACCTTTTAATTAAAATACCAGATTCAACTGTCACTGTCAAATATCCTTCCGAGACTACAGGTAATTTCACAACCCGAATAATTATTTGTAACATTAACAGTACAAAGGTCTCCCAATCTTTGTTAGAGTTGTTTCTATGATAAGCGCCGAATGTGATGCGCCAATATTTATAAATACATCTGTGTTTCGACGTTTCGAAAAGAGGGACACTTCCTCATCAGTCAACGGAAACCGAGAAAGCCGTCCGTCGCTCTATTTTGACGGCTCAGGTGCGCGTTCCGAATGATTGACACCGATAAAAAGAGTGGCGAAACAATTTCTTGGCAGGACTCGCCTAGTCTGACGCTTATTTTTAAGTTTTTCGGTCTTTTTTTGAAAATACTATTTCGAATTTAAGTATTTTGTGTTTTTATCTCTAACAAAAAATACAAAATTTACTTTATGTTTTAAACACACGCTTTTTTGGAATAAAAACATTATTACAAGCACGTAACATGATTTATAGAGAAGCTGAACAAATTAGGCATAAAAAAATCTTCCTACTCTGAGTGCCACCCAACCAAGGTAATGAATTTTAAAAACCAGAAAAGGGTTTTCTAAAATTTTGCATTCGTGAAATTTTGTTCCTGGCTATTTCACACAAATAACTCTCGTGCAATCGCAATTCGCACGATAATTTTTAACGGAAAGCAAGCGAGAAGAGAGAAAAACTAACTTCTCGGTCTTTTCGAGAAAGTTTGAAAAATAAGGAGAAAAAGACGCAGAAACAAATTCGCTGATAATTTGAATATGTGCCTGGGCAAAGTAAATCTCCGCGCTACAAGATGTTTTTATCGTCGCCAAAGTCTTTTCTCGAGTTCCGCGGGGGAGAACCGGGGGGTTTCCTGCCCCCTACTACCCCCCGACCGTCTAGTTAAGGGGTAAAAACCACCCCGAGCGCAGTGGCGTCAACAAAAGTCATGTCCACGGAGTGCCGCATTTTAGTTGAGAATTGAGTTATTAAGTTAAACAAAATTAAAAGTGTTATAAGCTAACGTCTCTTTTTAATAATGATAATTTTTAAATAATTTAATTTTACCGTGTGTCTAAATTGACACTAACACACGAGATTCGCCTCGATTGATTATACGAAAACGGAAAGATGTAGAAACAAAATATTTTATGGGTATATGTGGAAAGGCAATGTGCATAATTTAAAATTATTTTGAAATGTAAAGGGTGTGTCAGAACTGAGATCCATACCAAAGTTATATTTTTTCTTATGGAACACCCGGTATTTTATATCAGTTTTGGATTCTTGGGCCCAAAAAAGGCATTTATTATAAGGGTTAAATATGTTTAAAATCTTTAGTTTTTGAGATATTTAAAGACATTTAAATTTGCATGCTACAATAGAATAGACTATTAACACCCTGTACATTACTTTTCATAATTAATTCTTATGCTGAGTTTAAAGGTAGAGAAATAAACTTTACTGAAAAATGGTATTGGTTTCTTAAATTTATACCGGGCTATCAAAAGTTGCTGATCTATTTTAAGGATATATTTTATATAAAAACTTTGTTATTTCAAATATAACACCCTGTATTTTTTTAAATAAATCGAAGCAGATTCGAATGCTCTTTCAAACTATATTATGGTTTCCTATATCTATCTAACTCAGATTTTGAATAAAAAGCGATTTTTAAATAAAATTGAGATGGCTGGTGTCGCCATGGCAATTTTTTAGTAACAGTTAGGAACTATTTTCAAAGTAGACATTAGTTTATGGACATTATTATTTATAATTTATAACAGTTTACTTAAATTTACCTATTTTATCAAGAAAAAAATAAAAATAAAGCAGTATCTGCTGGCGGAACGAATAGATATGTTAGGAGTGATATTATTTTGTTAGGAAAATTGCTTCTTGGCCTCAAGGGCTTATGCTCAAAGATATCCAAATAGGAATCTTCCTGATAAGAGTTTCTTTGAAAAACTTCTTGTCCTATTTCGCCTGGTAGTGTGGTTTATAAAAAAACTATTAGGCAGAAACTTGTCGTTGGAAGTGAAGAAAATGAATTTTCCGTAATTTTTATAGAAAATCCATGTATCTACAAGTCATCGTAAAATAATTCAAAGACTACTTACTTCTTCGTTTTTCTTGATAGAATAATAAACACATGTTTAATAAATATTATTTATTAAACTATTGTAAATAAATTAAATAAAAGTAAACCGGTATAAATTTAAACAAGTCCATAAACAAATTTCGATTTTGAAAATAGCTACTAACTGTCACTAGATACTTGCCATGACAACACTAGCCATCTTGATTACAATTTTATTGAAAAATCGCTGTTTATTCAAAATCTGAGCCAGATAGGTACAGGAAACCCTAATATAGTTTGAAAAAGCATTTAAATCTGCTTCGACTTATTTAAAAAAATACATAGTGTTGCATTTGAAATAACGAAGTTTTTATGTAATATAAATATTTCAAATAGACCAGCAATTTTTGATACCCCTGTATACATTTAAGGAAGGAATAACATTTTTCTGTAAAGTTTATTTCTCTACCTTTAAACTCAGTACAAGAACTAATTCTGAAAAATAATGTACAGGGTGTTAATAATCTATTCTATTGTAGCATGCAAATTTAAATATCTTTCAATATCTCAAAACCAAAGATTTTAAACATATTTAACCCTTATAATAAATACCTTTTTTGGTCCCAAGAATCCAAAAATGAAATAAAATACCGCATGTTCCATAAGAAAAAATGTAACTTTGGTATGGATCTTAGTTCTGAAACATCCTGTACAATTCAAAATAATTTTAAATTGTGCACATTACCTCCCCACATATACCCATAAAATTTTGTTTTACATCTTTCCGTTTTTGTATAATCAACCGAAGCGAATAAGGTACGCCACCCTGTATACAGGGTGAGTTTCCTACGATGTTCTCTATGGGTATCTCGGAAACTACTGGAGATAGAGAGTCGGTTAAATGGGGAAAGAATTGCAGTTTTGTGGGGTCATAAATATGCGGCTTTCAGATTTTTGAAAAAGTTCATGGCTTACTAGATATTTCGAAAAAAACAAATTTCGGCTATTTTAAAAATTGTTCCTAACTCCATTATAAGATGTTTTAGACAAAAAGTTTTCAGATAAAAATTGTAGATAATCACATCCTTAATGAGACTGTGTCCTCCGTTTTCTTCTAAAGCCTGTCATTTTTGACATATGACACAAACATATGTTTTTTTTTAAATGGAAACCATAGTTGGCCATGACTTCATAAAAAGCGCCATTTTTTAAGCTTTTCAGCGATATAAGCTAAAATATCTTTTCTTCGAAAAATTACTGAGTTATAGTCAATTCTTATAATTTTTAAACAATTTCACTTAGTTAGCCATCGAAACAAGTTCTCAACAACAAGAGTCTTTGCTCTCGGAAATGTGAAGCTGTCATATCCAAACTTTGTAAATTAAAATAAGCAAAAATTGTAAAAATGAATTTTGCAAATGCAGAAAACCGTGTAGTATTATTGGTTCAACATTTCTTGACCATATATTTTCGAGGATAGGTTAACCGGTAAATGTTACGTTTTTTAGAGAACGGGTTTCAAGACATGTTAGAAAAGTTACATTTAGTTATAGCCAATTCTGATCTTTCTTGATTAATTTCAATTGGATTGCATGGTATTCTTATTCTATTATGATTTATAAAACTT